TTCATCTTCTCTGCTTTGCAGCCTGTTCTTACGCTGCTGCAGCAGCCAGTGCCGTGACATCAGGACGTACAGGCTTATCTGAGCTGGCATTCAGCTTGGTAAGTTAAGTTCAACTAGCAAAGAACTGCAGTTAGCAATTCAACACACACAATCAGTCCAAGAATCTTCATAAAGACGTAATTACATTCCAGTCTCGGTTTAAAATTATGGAAACTACACCCAGTCACCACATTTAAATGGGAAGTCATGGATTTTGAAGCGGAATTCTGCGTTATTTTTAAAAACAAACAAAACTCTTGACCTTTGTTGTAAACTGGGTCTCAAACGTATTTATCCACAGCAATATAGAGCATTAAAACATATGTTTTATAAACAAAATACTTTTATTAGACTAGTACAATGGTTATTTTAAATCAAGAATTAAAATATAGTTGGTATTAAACTACTGTTTCAGTTCATTTTACTAAAGTCAAAGTTACTGTAGATTACTCAGGAGGTAATATTTATTTGGAAAAAAAAGGTTTTTTTTAAATGTAGGTGGAATTTCTTTTTCCTCTTTTTATTAAGCATGTTTTGGCTATATAATTTAAATTAGACAACTTAGCTAATAGAGCATAACACTAAGCAAAACCAGAACTTAACTGGAACTGTTAATAGACTGTTTTATTGATCTGTTCCTGCTTCTGATGTGAAAATTATCCCATCACTACATTTATGCTTTCATTTCATTAAATACAATTATTTTTCATTATGTTCTCTGAAAGAGCTCCATCCAAGAAAAATATTTAGAGATACTCCAGATACCTAATCCAGCTTACTGGGTAACTACTTCTAGGAAGACCCCTGGATAGAGAAAACTCTTCTATTGTTTCTTTCTGTTTTATAGAAGCACCATAACACTCTTTCCCTGTCTGGACACCAGCCACATCCAGCCTGGAACAGAACTCAGAAACAGAAAAACATACTCAGGTGTGGCCTCTACCAACCACACTGTCACCTGAACATTGTGGTTTTCCTTAAGAGGAGGAAATATAAAAAAACAGCTGGCCACAGGCAAAACGAAGAGCAGTCTCTTCTAAAACAAGAGACCCTTTATACAATAAACAGGCTCAGCATGCCACTTCAGAATGATGCAGTGGCAAGACAATATAAGCCTCAACTTAGATTAAAAAATGGTAACCTGGTGTATATACATCCTTCAAGTCCACAGACAGACTTGCAATTTATTACAATTTGTTGTTTTGAATATCAGCTGTATCCGAAGCCTCACGCTGGCCTAAGTTCTACTACCTTGCTGTTGTACACAGAAGGCAGAGCTTAGTTATCCTGCAGCTCCTTTGGGATGTTTCAAGCAACATTGTTGCCTTTGTATCAGATAGTATTGTTACATTTCTTCAGAGAATGTGTAACCTTTTGGATACATTCCTATTCTGTGAGAATAGAATTATTATCATTGAACCTATGTCTCATAGGTTTAATGATAATAATTTTTCTGTCAGTCCTCAGTTGTAAGAAATCTTATTAGCAATGCTTTGCTCATCACCTAAAGCAGTGGCTGTTTTCATGCTCCTCAAATGCAAAACAAAATCTTAACTTAGGCCTCTTCCTTCAGTAAGAAAGGTGTGCCAAGTCAGTCCCACTGAGTCTTGTTATTGTAGCGCTGTAATGGGATCATTTTCAGCATGTGCCTGTTTCCTCAAAGGAACAAGCATGGCCTGTCTCTGTGCTCTTCATTGATCCCGATGTCTCAACAGTCTTGGCTAGATAGGATGAAAAACCTGGACTGCTTTACCTTTTTTAAGGGACAACTGGATGAAAGGGGTTCCAGCTTTAAGAAGTATTTATTTCCTTTTCTTCACCACCACCCCCCCCCCACTAGTGTAGGAGCAACATAAATTGATGCAACCTAAACTCCTTGTCAAATAATTTAACCCAGACCAGTAATACATCCTGATGTAACATCCCACCCTGATGACTCTGTCATCCTATGAAAGACTTAATTGCATTAACTTAAATTCATGTCAAGTTAAAAAGAGGAACCTCTCTTATACAGGATTTCTTCTGCATATCCATTTTACAGGTAGGTTCCTGTACTTTTTGCTGATTTTTATTGCTGCCCATATGCTGCACGTTCTTCTGCCAGCATCTAAATATATGTTCTCAAAAGATTTAACTTGGATTTATTTTAAAATACAATATTTGGTGGTTCATATATAGTATGATATTTATCCCAATGTATATATACCAAATAGGGTTGAAAAACAGATTTTCCAACAAGCGTTTACATTTCCATTTAATATGAGATTACTTTCCCATTATATAGTAATATGAAGTACAGAAAAAATAAATTAATACAATGATCTGAAAAAGAGAAATGTTACTGTTTAGAGAGTCATCTCCTGCATCTAGAGGAAATATCACACATACCTTATAAAGTTGTACACAGTACTTTAATACATATGACATAATTCTCCAGTTTCCTGAAAGGGAGTCATAAAGCCATTTATAAAAAACTAGCTTATATTTTCTCCAGAATAAATCACATGAATTACCTGTAGAAACTGGAGTAAGGAGGGATCATATAGCAGTGCCATTAAAACAGTCCAAAAAAAAGCACTGATCCTACTGTTGAATCTGAGTAGTCATACAACTGAGCAAGACCAAGAACAGTTTCTCCAAAAAGTCTGACCAAAATTCACTAATAAAATCAGACAAAACAATAATATTAGCATTTGAAGAGTATGACAATACAGTAAGGCCATTGAAAATATCCCTGTTTTATCAATTACATTCCAACAAAAATCATAATCTGAATCACAAGTATACTGCATAGTTGCATAAGCACCAAGATAATACAAAGTAAAAGCTTATCCATCAAGTCCCTCTGATAAAAGGTCCCCTCTAAAAATGCCAGTTTTTAATGTACATTTAAGAACTTACAGCAAGAGGTACTGATTTCATAAACAAAAACTCACTGCAAAGTCAGAAAAAAAAATCTAAAACTTGAAAAAAAATCAAAAGTAGAGCATTTTCTAATGGTCTGAGAAACAGCAAAATTCACTCCAGTTCCTGAGATAAACTGCAGATCAATTGTGAAAATTTACCAGATTATACCAGACTCTCTTTCCCATCTTCTCTTACACACTGCACACAAGCTCGGCACTGAAGCTTCTACTCAACTTACAAATCAGCAAAGCATGTGAAAGCTCAAAACATTCACATTTCCTTTTCCATTATAAAAACAAGAGACTGGCAACTTAGGTAAGAGACAGATAGACTTTTACCACAGTCTGTCAAAATAATTTCCAGGCAGAGGCAGTTGTTTTAAATTAACTGCACTTACATCTTTTAAACTAATATAATTTTGTGTTTCTATCCTGTTTTCACTGACAACTGTGCTCTTATTCATGCATTTGCTGTTTAAAAGAGCATTCCATACATGAGTTCAAACTCCTAGGGTCAGTTTTTTTAAAAGAGCATGTGTCACCTAACAGCTCAGCAGGTCTCTGTATGCTGGAACCATCAATGTGCTTCATTGCTACTAGCCGTATGGTCAGTTCCTAACTTAGCATTAATGTTGTGCTCCATCTTCTGTAAAACTGCTGGAAGATCCAGAACAGAAGAAATAATATAATGAGGTACTGGGGAGGTATCTACCGGGGTGGTCATTGTTTTGTTTAACCAGACCGTTGCTTTCAAGCCAGCATTCAGGCCTCCTTGAATATCTGTATCTAGAGAGTCACCGACCATCACACACTCTGCGGGCTGCACCCCCAGGAGATCGCAGCAGTAATGAAATATGGATGGTGCCGGTTTCTCTTCTTTCTGCTCTCCCCCCACCACGATGGCATCGAAGTAGGGCTGGCAGGCGCACGCCTCGATCTTCTCCCTCTGCGTCTGCCTGTCGCCGTTCGTGAGGAGCAGCAGGCGGACCCTCTTCCGCAGCTCCGTGAGCATCCCCCGCGTGTCCTCGGCCAGCGTCAGGTGCTGCAGCCGCGTCGTCTTCCACAGGTAATAGCACTCGGCCGCCAGGTCGCGGTTCGCCTCCCCTCCGATGGTCTCCTGGATCGCCTCCTCCCAGTGCGAAATCCGCAGGTCGGTGATGCACATCTTGGCGGGATCGTGGCACTCCTTGAGGAGCTTGGCCTGGACCTTGTCGCAGACGGCGCGCGCCTCTCCCTCCCCGTAGTGGTGCTTGGACTGCAGGGCGCTCATCACCTGCGAGGGACGCGGGGACGCGCGTCAGGGCGCTGCGGGGACGCGCGGCGCGCTCCCGGGAGCGGCCCCGGCCGCCTGTGGGCAGGGCAGGGGAGCGGGACACGCGCGGCCCCGCGGCCGGGAAGGGCCGGGCCGGGCAGGCCGGTGGCTGCGGGCCCGGCGCCGGGAAGGGGACAGGGGCAGTACCTCCTCGATGGCGCGGCGCCCGGCCGCCGCCGTGTCCACCAGCGTGTTGTCCAGGTCGAAGAACACCGCCTTGACGCCGTGCAGCCCCATGGCGCCGCCTCCCTCGCGAGCCGCCCCGCTGGAACGGCGGAGGGAAGCGACCCGAGCCGCCGGCACAGCCGCCCGTGCCGGGCACAGCACGGCGGGGCCGCCCCGACCCGCCCCGGGCCCGCCCCTCGCGTCAGGCCCGGGGGGCGGTGCGGGAGGGGAGCGCGGTCCAGGCTGGGCGGTGGAGGCTGTTCGGCCCTCCCCGCTAGGAAAGGAGGGTTGAACTCACGCAAGGCCCTGGAATGGGCTGTGAGGAGACCCCGCCCAAATCCCGAGAGCTTGTGCGGGGCTGGGGCGGGAAAGAAAGGCTGCGGGAGCTCTGGTGCCCTGGGAGCCGCAGCGCCCGGCGCGCTTCCTGCCATGCGGGGCGGGGGCTGAGGCTGAGACAGATTAGCTGCACCTGCCTGAGGAGGGAGTAGGGAAGGAAGGAAGGAAGAAAGAAGGAAGAAAGAAAGAAAGAAAGAAAGAAAGAAAGAAAGGAGGGAGGGAGGGAGGGAGGGAGGGAGCGAGCGAGCGAGCGAGCGAGTGAGCAGGGTCACGGCTGTACCGGGGTCACGGGTGTGGCGGGGAGTGGTGCCCCGCTGCGGGGTTTGTGGTGTGTTTTGTTTGTTAATTTTTGTCCTCTGTTTAGGAATGCTCTCTAGATGAGACAACGGACAGCTGGCATCTGATTGAATAATACCTGTTGAAATGCTGCCAAGAAACAGTTTTGCCGTGAAAGGATTCCTCCCGCGGCGCTTTCACCGGGGAAGGGCCGCTCGGCGGCTCTCGCTCCCGTTCCTTGCCCGTTCCCGGCCGCTGGCGGCAGCTGCACTCCCTGTGCCATCCCTGGGGCTAGCGGCCTCCCTGATGTCATACCCGCGGCTGCTGTGGCTGGGGAAGCCTGTTACCAGCCTTATAAAAGGTCACCAGCGAGGTCTCTAAGCGGTGTCGCTGGAGCGTGGCACCCAAAGACGCCAAAGTCTGGAGGTTTGCTCTTCGGAGCATTCCATGCACGGGCGTTGCCGAACAGGGAGCTGCACGAGGGAGAAGGAGGACACACGCGAGAGATTCGATTCATTTCGCCTTTCCCGGCTTCCCTGTTGCCTTCTGGAGCGCGTTCTCCCACAGAGTCACCTGCAGGCAGAGCAAACCGCAGCACCGGGACTGAATCATCCATAAACAAATGATCGTGATAAAGCCAAAGTCGATAACTCCACTGTTTGGGGAACTGGTATGATAATAAAATGTTTGAAGTTCCAAAGGTCAATATATTCTAGAGCAAATGAGTTGGAAAGGCATTCCGACGAAGACCTGAATGGCTTGGTTGAAAGAGTTTTTTAGGTGTATGTATCAAATGCTGTTCCAGAACAGATCATTTTGCCCAAGCAGAAGTTTAACAGCAGGCTCCATTGCTCAAGTCGTATTTGTTTGTTACCAGAGAAACTGGAAGTTCACCTTTAGGTCACTTTCAGTTCTGCAAACTGCACCTTGGGTAGTAATCTCCTTGTCTGATAAAAGATGTTGAGTCACACACAAGGCCAAAATAAACTGTTCCCTAGAGCTTGGAATATGGCAATTAGAACTACAGAAGGCAAGCCTTTAAGGAGAGAGGGGGATTCTGAGAAGAAATAGAGATGGCTAAGGATCCTGTAGTTAAGGCAATAGGAGGAGTTTTAATAAAATTTCTCTAGTTGACTTTAACAAAATGTACTACTTTCACTTGATAAAACAGAAAAGGTGTTAGACAAGGATTTCATTTGCTTTTACTGAATCACTATTTTTCATAATTTATATGGAAGAGTGGTTAAGAATAGCTGAATTTCTAGGATTCTCTCTACTTAAGAAAATGGCCTTTTTTTTTCAGAAAGCCCTGCACTGCAGTCAGTGAGCAGTGAATCCTATGTGCCCCTTGGGGAAAAGGTACGGTTCCATAAAATTATTGTTTGTGCTGTCTTTGAGTGTTGGTCAAAGAGGTCATAAGTGGAAAATAAATGTCTTAAAAGGTCTTATAAGGTATACATTTGATTAGAAGGTTTCAGTTAGGGAACTGAAGCAGTTAAACCATGAATTATAAGAGTATTTTAAACTTTTTTTAACTTTCAGTTTTCTCATCAATTGACAGTGCATAGAAAAAATTTGTTTGCTTCAGAGTAGGTCTGTAACTGTGAAATGTCCTTTTGTGTATGCTTGGAAAAGTCTCTGCAAGGTTGAACTTCAGCCAGCTGTTTGCTGTGTTGTATTTATTTGAACCCCATGGTTAGCAAATAAGCCCACTAATGACAGTTCTATCAGCAAGCGCATTACTTTCTCATTGTTCTTTCGACAGGCTTGCTAGAGGCTAGAAATGCCTCACAGGAGCTCGGAGCCAGGAAAACAACAGTTATTGGAAATCTACGTAAGAAACAAGCTGAAATACAAGGTGTACTGCACGTTCTCTAGAAGAGATAATGTAAGAATGTCATTTTGGTATCCTTAAACAAGCTCCAAACTTAGAATCAATGGAATTGCTCTAAGTGGCTTTTAACAAGGAAGAACATCATAAATACTTTCAAAGGAAACCAGTTTTGTCTATGCATAGAGAAATAACAACTTGTGAATTATATGACTTATATCATGGTTTGTCTTTTTTATTTTTTTCCCCTACAAGATAATTATACTTAGAAGTTCTGTGTTTGGAAATCTGATCCTTTTTGCTGCATCCCCACTGGTGTCTGAATGGGTTCCTTGTTGGTTTTGTGAGCACTATAAGAAAACAGGTGTGCTTCCTGGGTGTCCAACTGAGGAAGACCTAAGGCTTACTGCTGTTCTCCCTCTCTCCTCTACAGCTGTCTTGGTTTCTACTGGAGAGAGACCTTGCAGCTGGGTGGGAATCAAAGCACAGTTCCATAGGTTTTGTATCTGGGTGATCAGGAGCAGGTGCTGTGTGTACACAGTGAAGTGTATTTGCTCCATACTTTAGGTCTTGCCTCTGAAAACTAATCTTGAAGGTTTTGTCGGAAAATGAACTCCATCTCAGCCAGATCCAATACAGGAATATATGTGTTAATCGGCTAGTCGGAGAAGGAAAAGGACCACTAAAAACACGTATTTGGATATATTTGGGCGAAGCTGGGTGTGCCACTGCTCCCCGCTCTCCGTGTTGCTGAGCTATAGTATGTGGTTGCTGTAGCAGAAAAAGGCAGCAGCTAGTCAGGGAAGAATGCCAGAGGGTCACAGCACTGTGGCTGACACATCTTTGCGAAGCAGCTCGCTCTCCTTGCTGCCCTCATTCCCCGGTGGCTCAGGAGCGCTGGGCAGAGCGAAGCCGGCGGAGGCTCCGCTCCGTGCGGCGGGCAGAGCGCCGATTTCCCGCGGCCTCGGGAAGGAGCCGCCCCGCAATCTGCGGGACTCGCCCACCCTTTCGGTTTCGCTTCCGCCGGGCCGGGCGGTGCTGCGGGAAACGAAACTCCGTGTCACGCCGGGCTGGGCTGCACCACTCCGGCTGCTGGAGCTGCTGGAGCCCCCGCGGGTCCTGGAGCATCTGCCGCCGCTCGCAGGTAAACGGCGGAGAGGGCGGGCGGGGTGTCCGGCCGAGCCGGGCTGCCTGCACCCCGGCGGGAGCGGCGCTGGACCCCAGCGCTCGGCGGCCGGGAGCCAGAGTTCAGCTTTGGACAGTAAGGCTGAGCCTTCCCATCATCGCGGTTTGAAGGGGTATGTTCAAGTGCCGCTTGGTTCCCCTCTCAAGGAAGCCATTATAATTCTGGAGAAACGTTACTGATTATTTTACCCCCGCAGAATTCGGTGAATGATTTGATCTTTTCCTGTGAAGAAATCCGCTAAGAAATCTTCTCTAATCACTAAGTTCTCCTCTCTGCTTTCTAAAACTGTTATTCCAACCAATGACTCTTCAAAAACTGTGGCAGATCAACCATTTCAATCAGACATTAGAATTACTTTTCGATGAACTTTGTTACTATCACCAGTTTTCTATTTTACATCACAGCAGTGATCTACCAGGATTAGGGACTGTCTCTCTTCAATGTCTAGAGGCACAGACACATCTTTGACTATTACTTTGCAGAATCTGTTTGAGAGTGCGTCAGAATGGATCTTAAGTGTATGGAGAAGATCAACCATCACTGTCAAATAAATAAACTTACACTGCGTTATCAAACTGATGGGATGACCGGCCCATCTCATGATCCTGAGTAAGTTCACTATGCATGTCAATTACCAGAAGGGTTCTTCCTTTGATGAACAAACTGGGAAAAGCTTGCAGTCACAAAAGCTAATTTGCTGAAAGCATATATGCAGCAGGAGAGCTGCTTAAAACCATAAATTGAGTGGTAGATGCATGGGGAGGACATCATGTGAAAGAGTTTGGGAAGAAAACTGATTTCAAAGGTGATAGTTCCTTTTTGTAAAGCAACGGCAATGCACTTGTTACTAGTAACTATATTTTGCCTATGTTATGCATCTGCCACAAAATCTCTCAGGAGGTGGGTTGGGTTGCAGTATGTATTTCAGATTATGGTCTATCCTAACTTAAGTGCTTTGATTTCTCTTTAGTTTTACGAAGAGTTGTTGATGCCTAACTAAAAAGGTTGAGTGTCTATTAATTGACTGTATACCAACATGTTTAATGTGTTTAATTTTTGACCATCTGCTACAAGAAAGGGTCTTTTACCTAAGAAGTTTTGTTTTCCCTTTAAGAGACAGTTACAGGTGATGGAACATATTTTTTAACACAAATATAGTGTTTTGCTATTTTTTTGCTTGCCAAATATCATAGATACTCAAGATCTATAGTGTTTCCTTGTGTGATTTTTTTAAAAAATTTTTTTTGCTAGTTTGCATGAGGACAAGCCTCATGCTACTAACTGATGTTTCTTTTAATGTCTTGTATGTTTTAGACACCCAGCATTGTCTACACAGACTTATTTTTAGACCTGACTATAGTCCCAGAATAAATTATCTGTGTCTCAAATGTTAATCAGTTATCTTGATTTTTTTCCCCATGCGTCTCATGTAACCCAAAAAGTAACCCTTATTGCCATAATGACCACAGCTTTGGTCACAGAGCTACATTTTTGTGCTTCAAAAGTCGCGGCATGGGACTGATGGAATTTATATACATTCCAGATCTATGCTTTTTCATATTTTTACATGTACTGCGCTACATTCAGAAATACAGTTCAGCCCATTGTGTGAGAGTGATATCTAGGAAAATCGTAGATAACCTGGCCTATTCCAAGGATACGGTGTTAAGTGTCTGGCTACAATGATGCCTGCTGTAAACCTCCTTCAGTGCCCTGGTGATGCTCTTTCCCAGTGCTCTACCTGCTAATGGGATGCACTGGCCACTGCTGGGACTGAGCTGGGTCCCTAACTCTTTTGTGCTGTGTCTTGTCTCATGCAGTTGTCTGAGACATGATGCAGAGATAGCTGGTACTGTAGCTGCTTCCAGTACAATGTCTGACAGGGTCAGTGCTGAACACAGTGTAAGAAGGTTGAGAGAGCCCAGGGTGGCCCAGTCCTGACTGTCTGCAAGCTTTCTTGGGCTGGGAATGCAGTGTGTGTAAAACTAGGCCAGTCCTGCCTAAACCTAACAAATCTGGGAATTGCTTATTATCTCAGGGCTCATGGTGGATAATTGTGACTGTACATTTGGAACCAACTCATGCAACATTCACTTGGCTAATCCTCAACTCAGATAAATAACTCATTGGTCATTCCCTGCACGTTTCTTCAAGGTGCTTAAACAAAATGGTGAATTTTGGATGCAACATAATAACTGAATGCATGTAGTATTCAGCACTTAAGTATGGGTTGACTAACAGACCCTTTCCCAAAGAACTATCTTTCTTTCATGTGCTTGTTTGTTTGCTGTTTCCTATGTGTAGAGTATGTGGTACACTATCATGTGCCTTTTCCTACTCGTTGCCTCCTTAAGGTTTCTTAACACAATGAGTGCAAGCATTATTCTGCATCTGCATTTCTTTCCACGCAAACATTTCATTAAAGGGAAGTGGAGAATTAAGTTGGAATAATGGAAAAAGTGAATTCCTAAAGTCATTTAACTATTTGAGACAAATTATCCCATGGAGAATCTTATGGTGTTATACCTGGAGTGTTTTGCTGTGTGAGTCCATGGCTGTGAGCATCTATATGTTCCGCTGCACTCTGAAGCACGGACTTACCCTGAGGCTCTAACCGTCACTTTAACTTGTTGCAAGTTTGTGCTGCTGCCAAAGGCAGAAATATATTTGTTTTATCCTCTGTTGCCTTTTGTGCAAAGGCAGTAGCAGGAACATTAGGGAATTTGCACCTGCAGGACAGGTTGTATCTGGATAAGGACTGACCCATCTGAATCCAACCGTTTCTTATTAGGACACTGTTGGGGCTTGACCTCAGGCAGCAGCGAAACTCCCAGCCAGCCACTCACTTCCCCCCAGTGGGATGGGGAGGAGAATCAGAAAGCTGAGAGGGAGAAAAACTTGTGGATTGAGATAAAGGTAGTTTAACAGGTGAAGCAAAGTTGTATGTGTGACCAAAGCAAAATAAGGAATTGGCTTACTGCTTCCCATCACCAGGCAGATGTTTTAGCTCTTTCCATGGAAGTGGGGCTTCACCGTGCCCAGTGGTTACTTGGGAAGGAAAACACTATAACTTCAAGTGTTACCTCTTCCTCCATCTCCCCCCTTTTATTGCTGAATGTGATGCCAGATGGCATATAATATCCCTCTGGCCAGCTGCCTTGGCTGTGTCTTTTCCCAGCTTCTCCCACATCCCCCCCACTTACTGGACAGCCGGAGTCGGGAAAAAAGAAAAAGATCTGGTGCTGTGCGAAGACTTTTCAGCAATAGGTAAAACACTGTTATCAACCTTGTTTTAGTCCCAAATCCACAACACAGCACCATTCTGGCTGCTCTGAAGAAAGTTAACTCCATCCCAGCCAGACCCCCTTTCTGACTCATGGAGTTGCCGTATGGGAAGCAGCACATACACAGTTGTGCGGTGGAGGGATGGAGCAGGAAAGGACCAAGAGTTGAGTGTGGAGGGGCACGACTGGGTGGTGTTTTTTTGTTTGTTTGGTTTGGTTTTTGTTTTTCTTTGTTTTGTTTGCATTTTTTTGTTTGCTTGTTTGTTGTTTGTGGCTGTCTTTAAATTCATCTTTTGCAAAGCACGAGACATGGTTTTTGTACTTACTAAGTAGTGTACATCACAGGGTATTAAAAGTGAATGCAATGCCACATCTGGTTCCATGAAATCAAGATTAGCTAATCTTTCCTCTCTGTATAGTTTTGCAGTGCTGAGATGTGTCCTGGTGTTAGGGCCTCACAACTTTGCTTGTGACAATATTGACCTCATGCACTCTCTTGCTTTTAAAAATTTAAATAATTTTACTTTTAAAAAGCAATTAAGTAGTTAAACATACTGTTAGAACTAATAAAGTACATGCATTTGTGACTAGGGAGGAAACATTTTAATATATTTATACTAAAGAATTACAATAATCAGGAGCTGGATATAATAAAAACACAGGAATAGTTCAATACCTCACAGTGTATTACTGTAGATAATAAAATCAAAGTTTAATCTGAAAAGGTTATCAAGTATATATGAGGTAAAATGTAACAATGCTTTAGAAAATTTTCCTTTATTGCAGGTTCACAGTTGTGGTCAAACTAAATGATGTGGAGTATGGTAGAGGCACTGGTAAAAGTAAGAAAGAAGCAAAAAGAGCAGCAGCAAAGAAAACATGGGAAATGATTGAGAAACAGGTGAGTAAATAGAAGGAATAAGTTTTGGTTTTTTTTTTTTTTTGCTAGTAAAGGTTGCAGATGAATGTCTCAAAGTAGACTATCAATAAAATGTCATTTTTTTCTTTAATTTGGAAAAGTTTCCAATTACTTATGTTATTTTTGTTCTGTCTTATTCAGCACTTTTCTACCTTTTACCACTGAATTACTTTTCTTATTATTCTGCTACAAGGTTGATATATAACACTGTGTTTCCTCCTCTGCTGTTTTAGGAGGATGAGGAATGTATTTGCCTTTGTTAAGCTGCATTGGTGTTATCTAGAGGGGACAGTGGTTCTTTTCCATTTAGACATCAATGTCCTCAAAACCTTTGCAGGGCATTGCCCAGTATGTCTATTGCCACTCTGCTAATGAAATTGCTTCTTTTCACTTGCTTTGATTCATCCTTATTTCCTTGTCACTATATTTTTTTGTTTTAGCTGGTTATATACTCTATCCTTGATTAAGTTTAGGTTTGAATTTTGCTCCCCAATTTTCTGCCAAGTGTTTTGTGATAGCCGTTCTTTTCTTTTTGACTCTGAATGCTTCTTAGCACTTTTTGAGCTAAATTTTTTCTTGCCTGTTTCCATATGGTTTTTATTGTGTCACCATCATTAACACAATTGTGGCATGTTTGCTAATATATTAATAATGCTACCTAATCATGAGACAGCTGAAAGTCCTGCCTTCTCCTCTTGTACATGCACAGGAGCATTTGCAACCCTTGCTAAATGGCAGCATCAGCAGCATCTGATGCCATCCCTTCTTCACAGCTCATACCCTATCTGTTAGGAAAAGAAGTGGGATGATGAGAGACATGGTGAGAGGTTTTTAAAGACATGGGTGTAGTACTTGGAAAACTGGATTTACATTTCTTTCAAATAGTAATATTTTAGGCTTGGGATGTTTGTCCTTGGCCACAAGGGACTCCATAAATGCCAACCTGGAATTTCTGAAGAGTATTTTGAAAAGCTGAGAAACCTTGCAGCTGTATTAGATCTTGGACAGTGTTTATCTTAATGTGTTTATTAAGCTGAAGTTTTTAAGTTACCTATTTTGTCTGGTTTATAGATGCAGAGTCCTTCAAGTATGGATGCTGCAGCATTAGCGACAACTCAAAGAGTCTCATCACCTGAACCAGACAGAGACTATGTCAGCCTACTAAATATCATTTCACAAAGGCTTCGGCTACAAGTTGATTATCCTGAAAGAACTCGTACTGGAGATGCCCATGCTCCCATGTAAGATGTACTTTGTGTTCCTACTTCCTTCTAATACTTTGTTGCATTTACTAATGCTACCATTAGTTATCTTCAGTCATGTTAGATAAATCTTTAGAAATAAAAATTCAGAGGTAGTCTGGAGAGAATCCAGTGTAGGGCCATTAAGATGGTTAAGGAGTTGGAGGATATGCCATAGGAGGAGAGGTTAAGAGGATCGAGTTTGTTTAGCTGGGAGAAGAGATAGCATGGTGACAAAATGGTAGTCAGTAGTGAAAAATCATCAGCTTTCTTGGTTGTAGCTCTGGCAACTTTGTGGACCTCTGGGTGTGTGTCTTGGAGACTTCTAGGAATCAAGTGCCAAGGAGCCTGTTGGTGTACGTATTGCAGTCAGTGAGTTGTAGAAATGGTCCAGTTAATGACAGGTGCAGGATGATAAAGAATATCTACGTATTTTAATTCTCTTGATAATATCTGCTGGAAAATTCCTCCTCTCTTATCCTGCAAAATGAGCCATGTTAAAACCTAAACTGCAGATAATTTGTGACAGTGTGTGTATGATATATTGCTTTGAGAAGCTCAGCCTTAAAAAGTGCTAAATAATCACTCTCTAAAAGTGAGTTATCTTAAAGGCACATCAAATTAATTGTCTACCATTATTAATTAGATTAAACGTATATTGGGAGCACTGTCCTGAAGATGTCTATTTCATATTTCCATTTTATGATATCAATTCACTATAGTGTTTAAAATCATTAAATTAAGACTTGTCATATGGGATATAAAAGTTGATTCCCTGTTGTATTTGACAGATTATTTTGTAGCTGTACAATTAGTGGTCAGGTGTACGGAAGGGGCATTGGACCAACTCTAGCTGCTGCAAAACAAGCTGCTGCAAAACAAGCACTTGAGAAGGTAAATAAAGAAGGCTCTCTAACAGTATGTGCTATATTTACCCTTAAGACAGAAGTTTAATTTTTTAATGTTTAATCTCTAATCTTTGAACAGATATTGTCATTGTATTTAAAAGCATATTCCATGGATTCCACTAAAGAGAGAAACAACCTACATTTTGGTGTGTTGTTTGGGCTTCAGGATTGATTCTGTTGGTAGAATTTGTTGTATTTATCTATTCAATTGCTGGATTAAAAAAAATCTAGCAGCTGACATCTCTCTGTATTTCAGAATACAGTCTCATACGTTGTCATTCAAGGATCCATACATATTAAAAATTTCTAAATCCTGACTAATACACCAGTTGCTTTCTGTGGGAAGTGCTGTTGAGCTGTCTGGCTATGAACATAAGTCTCTTTCTGTCTTCTATTGGATCACAAATCTATTGTGAAATGTGAGAAAAACAAAAGCAGGAGTCAGAATCAGCACGATTTGCCTTCTGTAGTGTTCCAAGGCACAGAGTAGTGAAGCAACTGCTGGTACCATCTCCTCTGGAGAGCAGGGCTGTTGTCTTCATGCTGACAATTGTTATTTCCACATGAACAAAAAATTATTAGAATTCCAATACTGATCCAAACCCACTTCTGAAATGCACAGAACAAATGAACTAACTTAAATGAAGTATAGTTTAACTTGAAGAATGGCGGTATGGTGGAGGGAAGAAATCTTTTTTAAGTACTTTTTAAATTATTTGGCAGTTACTGTGAATTTTCAATGCTTCTTTTATTGATGTTTTTAAGTTAACCGTATAATTAATGGCATGTTATATTTCTAGGATTCTTTCTTAATGTTTTCATGTGTTGCGAGATTATGGATCTTTGCATTTTCATCAAAGTCTGAAATTTACTACCTCAAGCAGAACTCCTGTACCAATTAGTCTAAATTTGGGGTGGGTTGTTTCGGTTTGGTTTTAATTTTTATTAATTCTCAGTGACGTCTGTGTAACAAACAAAATGTAACTGGCCAAAAGTAGTAGTACTACTAGACAAAAGTCTAGTCCTACCAAATTAAAAAAATGGGGTTTGTGGGCTATCACTGAAACATAAAGCCTGTGTTTTTGTTTCCATGATACCACGATGAAAAACCATGAAACAAACAAACAAAAAAAGGTTTGTTTACTTTTTGTCAGGTTATGGTCTGTATCAATTGTAGGTGTTGCTTTTAAGGTTACTTTCATGCTCTTAGGACGTGAGTGGAGGGAGAAAGCAGAAGAACCTCTAATAAGTGTTTGGGATACTTTTTTTTTGTAGTCAACCTCAATTTAGTTTTACATAGTTTGCAGTGTTTTCATGCTGAAGACATTGAATGTCAATTTGTGTTCATATTTTTAGTTCTGCTGATTGCATTTATCAAAGCCTATGTATATCACATAGGCATATGCATATGCAACAAACAATGAAAACATTTGCTTTTCATCTTTTACTCTTGCCCTGGTTTTAAGCAGAATCCAGACTCTACTTTTGTAAATGGATCTGTATAGCATGATCACTGTGACAGTGCCCTGTGTTTCCTTTCTCTGGGTGGAGATTGGGTAGATGCCTTTCTTCTTCAGGGCTTTGAATGTTCAGTGCAGTTAAAAACTTCCACTAAGGACCTCGTAATCTTCTCTCTCCCCTCTCTGAGTGGCAACTTTTGCACTAGGGATTTGCTTACGTGATTTTGTTAGACATTCTTGGCTTTTCTTTTTTTTTCAGTGGGAAGCTGAAAAATCTAATGGCAATTCTATACTTAGCCAACATAGTGATTCCTCTCAAGTGCCAACTCAACTGGATTCGAAGTAAGTTGGGTTCACTGCTGAAGTGATAACAAAATCTATTTACTAATCATCTTAGAGGGTTGTGTGATCTAATTCTAAATAAAATATGTCACAGTTTGTTTTATTGCAGTACAAAGCCATTTAATTTGAACTTACATTCCTTAAACTTCAGATCAAAATTTGTTGTACTCATGCAATTTTATTTGAGTCCATATGGGTGAACTTATAATAATTTTAGAGTTTTCTGATATATTTATATTTTGCCATGAGTAGTTCTTTCAGAATAATTTTTACTGTGATGTAAATGTATTAACCTACCTCATTCAGTAGCATTATTTCATGCCATTTTAACACTCATTTTCCTATTGTGACACAATTTTGAACTCAGTACAATTCAATTTCATTACTTTCCTGTGCTCCATACTCTGCTTTCTTCTCTCCTTTTTTTTTTTTTTTTAATCTTTATTCCCACCAAAGGGAAAAATTTGCTTAGCAAGAGAAAATGAACATACCTAAAGTTTCATTTGTGCTTTGTGAACCTCGTGTCAAGCCTTTTGTGTCCAGTGGTTTGACTGTAGTGCAAATTCCCCTTCTTTTATGTTCTTTGTACATATCTGATTGCTTTATAGTTGCACAGTGTTAGAGGTGGGTGTACTACCTTGAAATAAATAGCTGTATTTAACCTATTTAAGGATATAATAGAATATATAACTTACAGATATTTAGATGTCATAGAGTCATATAGTATAGAAATATAGGACTATATTAGAAAGTGTTGTTATTTTAGCAGGTTTCCATCGGGAAGTTTGGTAGTTTAAATTAGTCATGATTGTTAATACTTTTTCAGGTATTAACATGATTGTTAATAATTTTTCAGGTTTCACTTTTAAAAAACTATGTAAATTTTGGTATTACTTCTTTCCTTTTGGTAATTTTATTTATGATTATGTTACTTTCACCTAAAAATAGTCCACTATTTTTCAATAAAAGCAGTATTTCCTTTGAAGACTCAACTCCAAAGTTGGTAGAAAAAATGAAAGACATGGGAGTATGTGAAAAGCTTTCACCTTCTGAGGTATAGTATGAAAATGATCTTCCTCATAATTATGTTTTAGATCCTGAAAAGGGCAAGTTTCTTGTCAGAGTGTAACGTCAGTTTGTTCTTTTATCCTTTAATCACTACCAAACACACATGCATTTTTCCTAAAAATATTCAGTACATTCTTACTGTTAACCATTAGTCATTTGCTTCTGTACTGCAGACTCAGTTCATGTACTGTTGAAGAAGTGGGCAGTACTCCCAAGAAAGGGGATCAAACCAAGTTCAATGTTTTCTGTGGGAACAGTGATAAAATTATGCAAAGCATACATGATAAACTTAAAGCTGAGATATGGCTTAATTCTTATTACATTGTTTACCTCAAGTATGAACATATATATAGGCAATTCTTAGATACATTCTCAGACAAGTTTTAAACCAACTGTGCTGAAAATATTCAGGTTATCTCAGTTAGGCTTTTTTCTCTTTTTCCATGTAGCAAAGTGCAGAGAGTTCTGCCCTGAAGGCCAAAAGGTATGTGTTTATTTCTAGGTATGTGTTTATTGCTATCTCCTGTAAATTATATTGCAAATCACTTTTGTGTTTTGGTATCTAGTAAAGAAATGACACTATTGGGAGGTACATATCTTTTCTCGTCACATGCTAGAAAAATGGCTCATTATAAATTTTGCTTTTATCCTTTTTACAGAAAATTGGCAGCTAATTTTCCTAATGTAAGAAAAGAGGTGGACATGAACACCAGAGCCATCAGTGTTGATAATGTGTAAGAAGGATTTGTTTTTTAATAATATTTGTATCACAATTACAGTATGTAGGGATCTAGATTTGTTCCTTTATTTATGACACAATGAGAGAAAATACTGCTGTAAAAAGAACTTTCAAAGAAAATTGGTGTTTTGTTTTTCTTCCCCCTGGTATTTAATGCTCATGGCCAAACATCATTTATATATGAGAGGATAATTACCCAACATGCTTGCAAGAGTCAGTTTCCCTTGTTTGTTTAATCTTCAAGACTATGATTTAGACCTGTAGATTTGTCGAGTTATTCCTGTAGAACAATATTTCAGCAGATGTATTGTATCTGTCAGGATTATTTTTATATCCTGTAAATTTAACAGTAAACATAATTAATTGCCTTTTTTTTTTTTTTTTTAAGATTTCTTAATCAGTTTGAAAATATAGAGCCTATTGGTGAAGGTGGTTTTGGGAATGTTTTCAAGGCAAGATCAAAGTGCGATAAGATAACCTATGCAATCAAACGAGTTGAATTCACAAAGTACGTACTATATTTTTACTTCTACTTTTTATTTTAGGACAACCCTAATATTATAGTACTTTATTTTCTCTCTTTAACAATCCTAGGAGCATTTAAGCAATTTTCTTTATTAGTTGTCTATTCTTTCTGGAAAACTGTTTTCTTTATTTCTAAGTGACACTGAAAATGGCATATAACTTTGTTAATTTTTGCATGTAATGGGATAATTTCTGCTGGAGCTGTAAAAATGCAGATTGGTTAAGTTCTACTTTCCCTGAACACACTAGTGCTCTGGTTGTTAATACTGAAAATGCGTTTGAAGAAAATGTGTTTGCCAGTTAGCAAAACATTGAAAACAGCAGTTACTTTTGATATGTTACATGGAAAATTTACACATCAGTAATGCATAAGAACTATAATTAGGGAAAATAGAGAAAAATCCAAGTAATAAGTTTTGCGGTTTGTAGCTGGAAAATGCATTATATACTATCCATGTAGTCATTATTTTCACACTGTGTTAATTTTTCTTTATGAATCTCAACAGAGAATGATGATCTTAATTTTTTAAGGTAACTAGTATCTAGTGGATAATGTAACTAGTATCTAGTGGAGTATTTTATCAGCAGCTGAAAAAATTAATTTCTTTTATGCAATCTATTGAAAAAATTTTGTTGGAGATGCTTGTCCTTAAATTGTATGATGTGTACACTTCCCTTCACATTTTTGTGTTCTTTGCAAATATACGTTATTTTAATTGGTATTTCAATCCTGAGAACTATACTAAAAACGTTCAACTGATTCTTCAAGTGAAGACTGCTGGTCTGCTTATGGGTTTGAACTTGCTTCACTAGGTAACGTTACAACAACAACTGCAGGCCAAATTTAGTAATAGTTCTTCATGAGTATTTATACTGACTTCTCTCTATATAGACAAACTTCATAGAGGTGAAAAGAAAAAATGGTTGTTTGCTGTATTGTGTTTGGTGACCTAATGTTATTATGCATTGCAACTATCTGCTTTTTTTTGAGTGGGGATTTAATTTCTAATATGGTTAAAACATTTTTGCACTTTGAATAACTGAGCAGATGAAAGAAAACCCACTGAAATTCTAACTATGATTTTGAACTTTGAAGCTTTATGAAGGCAAATAATATGCTTTGTTTCTAAATTATTGTAAAACTGTCCGTATACTGCTACTTGATGTCCTGTCTTTTATTTAACTTAGTATTAAGTAACACTGTAATAGGAAGATGCCTTTTTTTTTTTTTTTTTTAATTCCTTCTTCTCCTCCTAATAGGAATGTAAGCCGTGAAGCAGAAGGACTTGCAAGACTTACACATGAAAACATAGTGCGGTATCATTGGAGCTGGACAGGACACGACCGTATATCTAATTCAGCTGCAAGGTAACAATGAAATAGTAGTTTGAACTCACAAACTTGTTTGCCACAGTGAATTTTATGTTTTAAAAAAAAGGCCGATGATTGGTTACCAATTATTATACAAGTACAGCTGCATATACATGCTTATATACTTACTGCTAGGAAAAAAGGCACAGTGCTTTCCAGCAGCAGGCTGTATAAAATTAAGTATATTTATATCTTCTTATGCTTGATTAATAAGATACATTATATAATTTTACATTTCTCTTCTCTCTTAACATATGAAACTTAGAGGAGAGTAAGAATACTGAACTTAAAATTTGGGGCAAGAATTAACAGAAACTAAAAAACTGTTTGACAGCTGGCTGCCTAATTCCTGATCAGAAGCTTGTTTTTTGTAATAAGTACTGGTCAGCCAATAGCTCTTATAGATTTAATTATTTCTCTTAAGTTAGCATTTTAACCATGATGCCTGAAACAGTTTTGGTTGTTTAGAACAGAAATACAAAATGAAATGCTCTTTAATTAAGAGGTAGTCTTTCAACACTAAGACTTCTGGGAAGACTGTGGTGAGAGCTTTACTTGTAAGTTAGGCTATTAACTTTACAAAGCTTCTGTGGTAAACTTTTTTTTCATTAGCTGTAAATTCATACCTTTCAGATGGGTTGCCACACTTACCTGGAGCTATAAAATATTAATGGATTCAAAATTATGGTTGGCATAATATCTCTCCAGTGTGCTCAGTAAATGAGAAATAAAATGGAGGAGAAAAGTCTCATGTCAAAACCCAATCAATAATATGTTAGAGCAAGATGGGAGCCAAGGACAGTGATATTTCTTCCTGTATAAGACATGCCTCTAGGTAGGAGTGAAATAGAACTTGGGCACTCTGAAAACTTCCAGTGTAAACTAGAAAGCAAGGAAAACATTGGGAGTATTCCAGGGGTAGGCAGGAGCTGAGCAGGGATTCTTTGGTTTGCAGTCCTATTTATATATACCAAATTCATATTGATCTAGTGTCTTTTTTAAAATTAAGAGACTTGCAGATTTTGTTTTGGGGAACTTCAAAAATAATTATTAACAAAAAGGCTTTTTAAAGAAGAGGAATCTGAGGATCACTGATGACTTAGTAACAATTGTATCTTGCCAATTTTAATATGGTATGTAATTTTCTTTTGAAGCTCAAATTCAGACAAAACAATTCTCTGTCTTTTCATCCAAATGGAATTCTGTGAAAAAGGGACCTTGGAAAAGTGGATTATGGAGAACAGAGAAGACAAACACTATCATGAAATGGCACAAAACAAATTTTTACAAATAATGAAAGGAGTGGAATATATTCATTCTGAAAAGTTAATTCATCGAGACCTCAAGGTAAGTAGGATAGGTAATTTAAAAAAAAAATGAAAAAAGAAGATAGTACTTATTGGAATTGTAGAAAATGTTAAATTGTTATAGTCTTTGCTCACTCTGTTAAGTACCCTAGTAGTGTACCTCTTCAGATATTCCTAATGATTAATTCTTTTTCAGCAATTGGCTGAACCTCATCCTAAAATCAAAAGGTAGACTGAGAATCCTGGAATACAATAGTTCAAAAAATCAGTAATCCTCAGTTAACAGACACTTTCAGTGTGTTACTGAGTCAAAAGACTGCCTATGGGAAAAAGAAAAGTTGAGTCTAGGAAGTTTGCTTTGCCATATTGTAAAGGGATAGTTTATCTGTGCTGTGCTTTTGTCCCATGTATGCATATAAATATTTGAATGCTACAATGCTGGATAGAATTTCATTCTCTACATGTGCATCTTCATAAGAAGATTTTATTTTAGTACAAAGATTATAAAGGACAAAGCCTTCATGGCTTTAATATGGCATATCCCAGAATCAAATCTATAAGATAGGTTCAAGTTGATATTAACGACATTTGTGCCTGGTAGGAACAGAGCCTTTAAATAGTGTAGCCAGGTATAGGTACTGAATTAAATATGTGTGGGCATGGTTGGATTTGAACAGAACAACTGCACTGGGCATTCTTCACATGAAGATTTCTTCCTGTTGAATATTAAGTATCTCCTGGCCTTACGGTCCACTGGAGCTTCTTTGAGTAAAAGATAGCATGAGGCTATTTGGTTTTGTTTCAAAAACATTTTGAAGTGTAGTTTCTTGATCTTCTTTGGGAAACTTCATTGAAACATATGCAGTTCTACTTTTAGTTGTTTATGACTTGGAGTTCTGATTTAGGCTGGGATAGAGTTAATATTTTTTCAGTAGGTGGTACAGTGCTGTGTTCTGGATTCAGGATGAGAATAATTTTGATAACATAGACTGGACAGGTGACCCAAACTGCCCAACAGGATATTCCACACCACAGAATCTCATGCCAAGTATATAAACTGGGGGAGGTGGAAGAGGGGCCAATGTGGGTTTGTGGAAGGGGTCTGGCATCAGTCAACCAGTAGTGAGTAATTGCATTGTGCATCACTTGTTCTTCCTTGGTTTATTTTGGCTTTTTATCCTTTTATTATCATAATCATTATTATTATGTACTATTATTATTATCTTTTACTTTTGTTTCCATAATTAAACTGTTCTTAACATTAATCTGAAAGCTTTACTTTTGATTCTCTCCCTCATTCCACTCTGGGCATGGGGAGTAAGTGAGTGGCTGTGTGATGCTTAGTTACCAGCTGGGCTTAAGTTGTGACACTCTGTCAAATTTAAAAAGGGAAGTTCAACGGAAATATAAAAGTGATACTCTGAGATGCCTGTAGTACGCCTTAACTCTGCAATTGACTTAGTACAGATAATCCTGCTGTGCCTAGGAGAAACTCTGATTTGAGTAGAATTCCATTAGTGAGCCAAATACTTTTCCAAGTGTATCAAGTCCCAGGGCTAGGACTAAAGACTGAAAAGCACTTCTGGATATAAAATGTTATATGCATGATACATTTGAAGAGCATTAAATGATACAGTTATGACTGAGCTAGTTGAAAAAAAGGTGCAGTTATTCCAGAACATACTACTTGAAATTTAGTTTGTGGTTTTGAAACTTAATTTAACTTTTTTCTGTTTCCCACCCCATCAGTTTCTTAATGCTGTTTTCTCTGAACAATTATCAAATTTATGGGGAACATTTCTGTGGCTTATTATGCTTGATGATAAACCTTGGTCATATGTTTTTTCTTTTTTTTTTAATATTAATATATATAGCCTCCGAATATATTCATATCACATGATGATAAAATAAAAATAGGTGACTTTGGTCTTGTGACTTTTGCGGCATATGAGACTCTGACTGAGAACACAGGAACAAAATCATATATGGCACCAGAACAGGTAATTATCCTGCTATATTAGCGTCTCTGTAATTAGATTTGAACTATAAAGTCTGCACTGGATGTTCTCAATCCTAATCTCAGTATTAAAGCAAGTTGCCTAAAGTTCCCTGGTATAACTGTATATGAGGATAACTGTATTCTGGAGAAAGCTGTCTGCCAGTATGGTAGTAGGGCTAACCTACAGTCTGACACTGCATGCTGTAAGGAATGCTTTTGCAAAACCAGGCTGCCAGACATATGTATTTAAATTTTAATTTAGGACCCCTGTTAGCTGTGGCATTTGAGTCCTTCTATTTATTTCATTATTTGCCACAGGGCAATATTGGCATACTTTATCTATATAGGTCCGTAGAAGTCAATTTCAGTGTGTTTAAGGTGACACAATAGTCATTACTTAACAGGTCTGTGGCAGAAAGTGTTAATGACTTATAAAGATATCGAGTAGGGCCAGTCCTGTAGCATCAGGGTGGAAATTTCTGCTGACTTCAAATTTTGCTTTAGGAAATGCTGCTGTACAGTTGGATTTGATGCCTTTATTGTTCTGGTTCTTATCTTTCTAGTTCAGTGACAGATACGGAAAGGAAGTGGATATTTATGCACTGGGATTAATTTGGTTTGAAATTCTTTCAGCATTCACTAATCATGAGAAAAGTGAGGTATGTAATTTTTATATTTAAAAAAGAACTTTAATATTGTTTTGCCTTGCTGCTGATCACATGTTGATTGTACACTAGAAGGAATCTGTGTATCTAGAGTCTCCATTTACATTTTCCCCCTTAATTCATTTCCAAAAGGCCTGTAAGTCCTCACACCTTAGTTGAAATGTCATAACTGAAGAAATATTACAGTTTATTTCTCCTATGTCCTATTACCTATACATTAAAGCCTGAGCATGCTAAAGATTAATATCAAGCTAAAAAAATATATCAAGTTTCTTATAAATCTTTCTGCTTGATCAGAAACTTGGAGATGTTTTATAATTTTAGAAAATAAAAATTATGAATGGATGAGTTTTGTCTCTGCCATGCTTGTCTTCACTGCGCAGTGGAGTAAGAACAAGGTTTCCACCAAGTCAAAACACTTGCAGTTTTCCAAGATGAAAATGAAAGTGACTTGGAATATGCATCTTTACCTGAAAAAGACGTTACTTCAAAAAGAAACTCAGTGTTACTTAAGCTTTTTTTTTGAAAAGGTATCTTTTACACATCTTGAGCTTTTTACCACTAATTTGTATATTATTATTGTAACAGCTCTTATACACAAAGCTAAATGTTTGTAGGACAGTGATGTAGCTGCTGGGTGTCTTGTCTAAAGTGACTGTGGTCAGAACCAGAAGGCTTTGAACACCGTTAGCTGGATCTTTTTGCCAGTATGAGAAAATCATACCTAGTGTGTCTTTTCAAGCTAGTTCTAATTAGCCACCTTGCAGTACTTCCTAAGATACCTTGTTCCTGCTCACAGCTGACTGCAAATGCATGCACAGTCTCACAGTATTTGCAGCTGGAAGGCATTATTTCCATAAGTATAAAAATCTGGAGCTCTGTAGGCAGGTATGTGGATGGAAAGTCCTAGGATGGTCTTCAGCTGCTCCATTAGCTTAGAAAGTAATTTCACTTAATGGAGCATGATAAACTTTCAGCTGGAAAGTCCTGTTGAAAGAACATCATGTTGATGATTATTTTGTGTTGTGTAACTGGTTTGGCTGATGACCCCAGCAGATAGGGTTACAGGCTTAAAGCTACTGCTGAAGAGTAGGGAAAAAGCTTGGAAGTTCATGGGAGCTGTTGTTTTACTGGATACTGGTTGTAAGGGCTTGGTACACCAGGCTCATAGGATCCATAAGTCTAGCTAACAATTCAGGATGCATAGCTTAAGTGTAAGAACACAACTGTCATCTGCAGGCAGACATTACACTAGTTAGCAACCAATTAATTAAGTAGTAATTTCCTTCTTACCCAGGAAGCTACATCATTGCAGAATCACAACATGGGTAAGGTTGGAAGGGACCAGTGCAGGCCACCTAGTCCAACCTATCTGCTCAAGCAGGGTCTCCTAGAGCACGTTACTTGGGCTTACAACCATAATATCTCCAGTGAGGGAGACTCCACAGCCTCTCTGAGCAATCTGTTTCAGTGCTTGGTCACCTGCACAGTAAAGAAGTCCTTTCCTCGTGTTCAGGTGGAATTTCCTGTGCATTAGTCTCTGCCTGCTGCCTCTTGTCCTATTGCTCAGCACCACCAAGAAGAGCCTGGTTCCATTGTCTTGACACCCTCCCTTTAGATACTTATGGACATTGAGGACATCCCCTCTTAGTCATCTCTTCTGGAGGATGAACAAGCACAGGTGCCTCCATCTTTCCTCATAAGAGAGATGCTACAGTCCCTTAATTATGTTACCCTCCACTGCACCCACTCCAGAAGCTCCCTATCTCCTTTGTACTGAGGATGTCCAAACTGGACACAAGACTCCAGATATGCCTCACCAGGGCTGAAGAGGGGAAGGTACCTCCCCTGACCTGCTGGCAGTGCTCTTCCTAATGCACCCCAGGAAACCATTGGCCTTCTTGGCCACCAGGGCACACTGCTGGCTCATGGACAGCTTGTTGTCCACCAGGCCCCCAGGTCCTTCTCTGCAGAGCTGCTTTCCAGCAGATCAGCACCCTGCCTATCCTGGTGTCTGGGCATTATTCCCCCAAGGCGCAGGACCCTGCATTTGTCTTTGTTGCATTTCAGAAGGTTTGTCCCTGCTCATCTCTCCAACCTGTTGAGGTCCTTTTGAGGGGCTGCACAAAACTCTGGAGTATTGGCCACTCCCTCCAGCTTTACACAAAGTTCATCAGTTTGCTGAGGAGACATCTGCCACTCCATCCCACTCATTGATGAACAAGTTAAACAATACTGGACCCAGTATCCACCCTTCGGGGACACCACTAGTCCTTGCAGTCCCCCAACTAGATCCTCTGCCACTGTGTACTGTCCTGTGGGATCTGCTGTTCAGCCAGTTCACAATCCACCTCACCATCCACTCGTCCACCCTGCAATTCCTGAGCTTGCCTATGAGGATGTTGTGAGAGACAGTGTTATATAGGAAAAAAAAGTTACCCAAGCCTGGTTTCTAAAGTATGTAATTAGAAATCCTCTATATGTTAGCTGCTTTGAACTCCACATAGCATTTTTGGCAGTGACATACTTTAGTTCAGTGTAGGGTACTGAACATGGAAGCACACCTGCTTGGCTTGCAAACAGTAACATCCAAAGTAGGAAATTTGGTTGTCTTGCTCTTTTCCTTTTCTTTCAATGTGGTTCGATGATATGAATCCACTACTTTTAAATTAAGGAAAGAAGGATAAAGGTTCTGAAATAGAGAGGACTGCTGAAACAATCCCATCATTGTAGAGTGTAAAGCTTTTAAACTTAGAAAGGAACAATAGTTGATGAAAACGCCATAAAACCAAAACAATGTACAACTAAATGGAAGAAACTTTCAAACTGTTTACAGTTACTTTCTGAAGACTTAATTTCTTGTAGATTTGTGGTTTCCTAATTACTTCAGGAATGGGTCATAAGGTAGACATGCAAAATACAGTCAAAGACAGCATACTGAAACTGTTCTGTTTTATGAATTTCAGGTATGGCCTTCTGTTAGAAAAGGTGATCTTCCAGCGAGTTTCACCAAAAAATTTCCACCAAAGGTATGAGATTTTAATAAATTATTTTGATTAGTTTATTTACTTGGAAAAAAAAAATAAATCTATTGCCATTTAATTTTTTTTGCAGGCATCCATAATCAAAGAGATGCTTTCAAAAGATCCTTTCAAGAGACCCTCTGCATCTCGAATACTTGATCTTGTTAAGTCCATTGATAAAGAGAAGTCACGTGGAAATTATACTTATTAAATGCCCTTTTAAAAGGCTTTCAGACTCTGTTTAAATCCAGAGTTTGATAGATTTATTGAAACTGATGAAAAACAATAGACGTAAGAAGCAACAGCAAGACTTGGGGTATGCCTTTTCCTTGGTGCTTTGCCTTCCTGCCGTTGTGGAGTCTGTCAGCTCGAAGGCCACATCAGCGTTCATGTCCATTGGCTGCAGACCAGGACTGTGTACTTCTGCAAGAAATCACTTGCAATTTTTACCTGAAAATACAGGTTGTGGATGAGCTGAACTGTACTCTACAATAAGTAAAAGAACCTAGTCCTTTTCTGTTAGAAGATTATGTTGATGGGCTAATGTGCTAACTGGCCTATGGAAAATTCCTGGATGTGGTGCTGCATCTATTATTCTTTGAGGTTATCTATTGCTTTCCATGGAAGAAGTGCTGGCTTGTGGTATGTGACTCAAACCTTTCTGATTTTTCAGTGATCCTTTTAATAATTACTGGAATGCTCCCATTAAAATGAAGACTAGTTTTGGTAGAAAAGACACTAGGAATAGGCACGGGTTATTCTTCACTGAATTTCAGTACTGTAAAGTGAGCTTTCTTATCTTTTTACACCTGTTGATGACCTAGCACCTTCAGTGCTCTAAAATTTAAAACAGATATACTTTTAAAGTAGGCATTTATTAAGAATTTAAATGTTAAATGTTCAGCTTCTGGGAAATCTACTAGAGAAAGTTCTAAACTTCCGAAAAACTTGGGGTTTGATAGTTTGGTTTGTCTTTTTTTTTTGAAAGGAACAGTTGATGTGCTATTAATACAGCAAAATTCCCCTGAATTTCCTCAGTAGTAATCACTTGAAGTCCTGTGCTGAGAGAGCACTTTTAACATGCCTTCCTCTGCTGCTAGGTTTTAATCCCTGTTATAATACTGAGGAATGCCTAACCCTTAATTCAGCATACTGAATACCTCTGGTGGTTCCACTGTCAGCTCCACAAAAGTTAACAGCACTTTTTCTGTTACTCTTCAGTTATACACTTCAAAGAGTTCAGAGCTGCCTGAATTCCAAGTATTGTGTGTGCAATGGTGGGGAGCAGGGTGAAAAGACAGGCATGTTATTCCTTCCAACTGCTTGTCTTTGAGCTGTATCTTGTCAAACTCCTCATTGCTGTAGAGCCAATATAACTCCATAAGGGCAAATGAACAGAGATTTCTAAGCAGAAAAACAGGTAAAGTACTGTACACCTTTCCTGAAATGTTAAATGGGGTCAAAATGTGTGACTGCTTAAAAGGAAAAATGTAAATTAACGCATGCTAATTTTTAAATTCTTATGCAAATTATTGCTTTTCTACTGTGAGCATTTGTTGCTAAATAAGAATCTGAAGGTATATACTTTATTATAAGGCCTTAAGCAGTTCTATTTTTTTTTTTTCTCATTATCATGAATCATATATATAGAATCATAGAACGGTTTGGGTCGGAAAGGACCTTAAAGATCCCCACCCCACTGCCCTGGGCAGGGACACCTTTCACTAGTCCAGATTGCCTTGAACACTGCCAGGGATGGGGCATCCACAGCTTCTCTGGGCTACTTATTCCAGTGCCTCACCACCCTCACAGTGAAGAATTTCTTCCTAATATCTAGTCTAAACCTGCCCACTTGCAGTTTGAAGCCATTCCCTTCCTCGTCCTACACTACATGCCCTTGTAGAAAGTCCCTTTCCAGCTCTCTTGTAGGCTTCCCTGGACTGCTGTAAGGTCTTCCCAGAGCCTTCCCATGTGCTAATTAGCATTTCTTCACAGTGGTCAAGATCTGTGAGAAATTATATCCTCACTCACATATATTACTAGTTACTACCCATTTTCTCTTTTACCCATTGAGATATAATTACCATATATGATTTTACTAGATCTTAAAGGTCTTTTCCAACCTAAACAATTCTATGATTCTATAAAACTATTCATAATATGACAGTTGATACATGACAATCTTTTGTCTGAATATCTTTACAGTTTTTGGACAGAGCACGAATTGTGTCATTACCTTCTTCCTGTTACGTAATATTGAGCTTGTCCCAGTAGTTTTGATACATTTTTCGTCAAGAGTATTTGTATACTCCAGCAGTACCTTTTTATTAATGGCTACTTACAGCAGCTGCTGTTTCCTAAAAATAAAAGGTCTATTAAAATGTATTTTTATATTAAGAAAATCAAAACCCAACATCATGATCCAGTTCTCTTTAGTTATGCAAAATATGCACCTTCACATACAACAGAATATTGGTTCAAATAACATCACTTTAATATTTCACAAACTTCTTTTTTCCTGAGTTTAAGATAGTAAGCAAAAAGAATCTAATACTTAGTCATATCTGTAAAGATGAAAACCCCTGTTTAACACATTATACAACAAAGGGATTAGCCAATATTTATTCCCTTACTCAGACTTGAATTTTATTATTGGCTGATCTTGCTCAGTTGGGTGGGACGTAAAAAAAGATGTGGAAGGCTTAACCTACCTCTCAATTATGGAAGTTCACTTATGTGAGTTTAACCTGTCAACCTAACTCTTCTTCTGTGTACTTTGGTGTGAATTCTTGAGTGTAGCACAGCTCCAAACCTTCTAAAAGATATTATGGATTATACATACTCATTTAGGACTCATTCCTTTAGAAAGGCTTAGTCATGATCTGCAGCGCTGTCTCCAGGACAGTTTGAAGATAAATCTTCAGAGTCTAAAGGATAAGCAGAGAGAAAGTGAGTAATTCCAGCTCAGAGGAGAAAAAATGGTTGCTAGAAATATTTATAGAATCCATGTAAAACAGATTAAATAGAATCCAAGGTTTGCAAGATATTAATTCCCAAATTTGTTTTAAAACAAAACAAAACAAAAAATTCTGTGCTCTTTGGTGCAGTGGTACTGTATAATTTTCTAATTGTTTCAGAAACATAGCATTAAATATCTGAATTTTGTTTTCTCAAAACTCAATTAATACAAACAGAAATTCAAATAAATTTCAGTATGGTTGGCTGTGTTTTGTTGTGTATTTTTTTGGGGTTTTTTTGATTACTTTGGTTTTGTATTTTTTCTGTTGTTGTTTTTGGTTTTTTTTTTTGTGCAACACAAGGGATTTTGAGAAACACAAGGGATATTATCTATTTGAGTTGAGTTGCATAAGCAAAGCAAAACACAAAAGACTGACTTACTCTCACCTTCATAGGTCGTTCCACACCAAATGCAATAAAAGTGTTCTTTTCTCAAGTAGGCTGTCAGGATCTGTAGCTTTTCTGATACCTAGAGATACGTACAGGAATGCAATGATCTGGGGCTCACATGACATACATAATTTTGAGCTACTGGTTTGCTAAAATAAATTTTTAACCTTTTGCTATGGAAAAGCTACACAACACTGTAGCTCAGTAAGACATGAAGTTTCCCAAATCAGTAGAACAGGGCACAGGAATTCATCATCTCTGGAAAATTAACGGCTGTTGTTTGCTCATCTTTCTTTCCAGCTAAGTAATCTGCACTAAAGAGAGCTAGCTAAAATATTACTTAGCTAGCTGATTTCAAGTATACAATATCTTTTGTGGATTTTTTCACACCTAATCTCTGCAAGTGGAACTCATAAAGCTAACAACAGCTGTGTAGCCTAGTTCTCAAAAATTGTGAAATTCTTATGTCCAACTTGAGATGATCTGCAAAGCATTTTCAGAAATTACTTGATGATTTCTAAATTCAACCTCATACATCAGTTGAGGCATCCAAAATTAAAACTCAATCGCAAGTTTGCTGATCTTCCTTAGATCAGCCTCAAAAACAGATGAGCAATAAACAGTGGTTTAATGTTTTATATTTTATCATGTAACTGCTATAAGAATCATTGCTTTGAGACTGCAAAGAGGCCCTTCACTACAGCTTGGAAAATGACATGTATACATATATCCTTTATATATATGTATACATACATACTGTTTAAGGGGTTATTAAATTTAATTCTGAATCGAACCATTAATTTAGTTGCAGAGCTTACACTTAAGTCTGAGCTTGTGCATTCATCTTCCTTGTCTTCCTCATCCTTTTTGTCTTCCTCTTCAGGTTCTATCCAAAACCAAGTCTCTTTGGGAACTTCGATGTCCTTAAATAATGAGGGATTTAAATTGATGTTATCTGCCTTCGTAGGTTTTCTTGTAAGGTGCCGGATAAAACCAGTTTCTAGAAGGTGAGGTGTTAAGTTTTAAAACTTGCATGTCTAGTATAACCAAGCATTAGTAAAGCTGTAGTGAGAAACTAAGTCCAGCAATCCACAAGAAGGATTCTTCTTTTTTTTTTTTTTTTTTAAACAATGAAATGCATGCTAACAAATAGTTCTATCCCATCTGAGTTTGGTATGTGTAAGGCTACATTGCAACATTATCTGTGCTGTGAGCACTCTTGTTTATCAGTTAAAGACATGCTGGCCCAAGTTATTTTTGAAGAGATCACATGGTGCTTCCTAATCCACTTTGGGTAATGTTAAAGGAAAAAGAGTCAATAAAGATTATCTAAGCTTAATTCAGCTGACTTCATCTGGAGCAAACTAGGTAGTATCAAACAATCTCAGCAGAACTTGTGAGGTGGTATTAACCTCTAACAGGTTAATAGAACAAAAACAATTTTGAAGTTTTCAAGTGGAAAAAAATTATAGTAGTTCACTCCTATTACCTGTGTTATTCCTAGCAGGTGGAAGATACTTAAGTTTTGTGGATTTTTTATTGTTGGTTGGTTGGACTTCTTGTTTAAATGCAGCTTTGGTGAATCTGCTGATTCCCTCAATGATGATCCCCATCCTGAGAGATACTAAAGAGCTTCCTGGACAACCTGCTTTAGGTGACCCTGCTTAAGCAGGAGGGTTGGACAAGATGACCTCCAGAGTCCCTTCCCCACCATTGTGTGATGATGTTGCTTCCTCAGTTGAGGCAAACAGCACCATCGTTTAGGATGGCCTGATACTGGATACTGAAAGATATGCAAACAGCTCAGAAGTAGCTACAAGAATGCAGGAGCAAAAACATGGGGCCTCACATAAGTTACCATGATGTTGGTGTGCACCTTCAACTATTTTAATGGTGCAAACATATACTTTGAATTTTTTTTAAGGACTGAAGTGTTGCCAAACATTAAGACTTCAGGCTAGTTACCCCACAATTTTAGACAACTTCCAAGAATTTAATCACTACTTTGTTTGTAGCCTGTACCTCTAACCTATAAGCCTTCCTTCCAACCCCCTCCCAAACCCCACAGGTCTCACTTTTTGCATATCTAATTGCTGGCAGGCCCTCTGGCTTTTTCTTAGGTCCCCTTCCATCTTACGTTCTTCTTGTTTGTTTTTGAATCTTATTCTGTTAAGAAAAAGGAGAGAGGTAAATAAGCAGGCAGACACACAGTGAGAGATGTGTTAACAGTCCACAGCTTTTCAAAAATAGAAAAAGTAAGATTCTATTACTAATAATTCTCTCAGACCATGACAAAGTATGAGTTAAGAAGACATTCTGACATTGTTTCTGTGGGAGTACACTTGTATTTCTTGGGAATTATAACTTCAAGATGGTGCTTTTGTGATCACACTACACTGTTTCTTCATCAGATTTTCAAAAGACACAAAGTGTTTCACTAAACATCTGCAAATTATACAGCCTTCCCTAGGCTTTCCTCTTCCACATACTACAAGCAAATAGGAGAAAACAAAAAAAATACAACCTTAACAAATTTACCCTGATTTTTAAAACCATTGTAGCGACATTGCTCAAGATTTTAAATGTAAAATCCACACATAAAGATGGCATGGTTCCCCAATTTAAAAAGTTGTAAATGACTTGAGAAAAGTTAGTATGCATATTGTTTGCATTATTAACAAAAAACTAAAGGATGCAGCACATGCTTTTAGCATTGCAGTCTTCATCGACTTTTGCTTTAGAACTGAGAAACAACTGCACTGTATTTTAACTCTCACCCTTCACTGAAAATGTTCAAAAATAGTAACACATTAAAAGAATAACCAAACTTAGAGCATAAAGAGAATACTTTTTTTAGACATTGCTTGGAATTCAGTTACATGATTTTACCTGAACTGATCTGCAGCTTGTTCATTTGCTTGTTTTTTCATATGGAGTTTTTGTCTATAGTTTTCCAGTTTTTCTTCAGCTTTTCGCTTTTTTAATTCCTCATGACCAAGCCCACTTCTGCCTATGTAAGTTCAAAATATGAATGTAACCAGTTGAAAACCTCTGATGCCGAACTAAATAAATCAGAAAGCATCACAAACCTGTTTTTATATTCAGAGGAATAGGTTCAACAATGCCTTCTCCTGTGAGAGAAAAAAATTAATCAATTAAAGAAATCAAGTTTTTCTCAAAGTACAATTTGTGCAGTGTATTGAAGTAGGCAAGGTGCTTTTGCCATCAAATATGTACATTTTCTTGTGATTTTTTTTGGCTAGAAGTTGAAAAATCACAAATTGATACACATTTAGTGCACTACAAATGATGCAACTGAACTGGAACTCCCTCTCTTTTTTGACTTGTCTGCTGGGTTCTTAAATATTTTCTTCAGGACATGACCCAACTGAAAGAAAATGGTGTTGATGTGACAGGTATAACATGCCTGTGATGAAGGCTTTGTTACAGCCTTCTATAGCATTTTCAGTCTAGGATCTCACAACTTGACAATGGTGAAGAATAAAAATAATGTCTGGGCCAGTTTGTTTGCGATTGTCTGCTAGAGACATGCTGAACTGGCACAGCAAGTTACTGATGCCTTGTTTTACTGATTTTACTTCATCTATTAAGGCCTCGTAAGAGTAGGCCAGTGTGCACAACTTCTTCTTCAGTTCCAAGAGAGAGACTGACATATTTTAGCTATTAGCAAAGCTATTAGCTTTGCAAAACCATCAAAGCATCCTTAATGCAATTCCTGTAGGTGTGCACATATGGAGGTGCATTTATCGAGCTGCAAATACTGCTCTTCCCTCACATCTCTCAATAGCCTGTACCGTTTTTACTTAGGTTTTAGGGGTTCGCTCTCGTATTTTGCTCTGTCACAACACATTCACAGTTCAGTAACGCTAGGGCTCTCAGAGAGGCACTTACTGACCGTGTCTGCAAAGCAAGTCACGGACAGCTGCAGTCCGTAAATATATATAAAGGTACAGCTGAATAGAGACACGCACTTCAGAGAGCAACAAGCTTACCGCTTTTGCCAAGGGCCTGGCCGCTCTTGTAGCCCATCTTCTGGAGTAAAGCAAAGCCTTTGTTCTCGTTGCCCAACGCGCTTTTCAACACCAAGTCTCGCCTCTCTTTTTCTTCTTCTTTTATACTCTTCTGCCTGTTTTTCTCATTGGCTTCCTTTTGCTTTTCCTCTTTCTGAATTGCTTCTTTCACCCGTCTTACCATGGGCAAGCCGGGCCTTACATCCTGCCTAGGAGTTAGTAATTCCAGCAAACATTAGCGCTTTTTCAAAAACGCGTTTAAAATCACCTAAAAACGGGGGTGGAAAAGAGCCAACTACTTACTTAATAAACGAATCAGACATGTAGTCTTCCTCTTCATCTCCCTCCATGTCGGCACGCCTGCCCTGTGCCGACCCCCTTGCCTGTGGACACCGTCAGTACGCCTTACCCCGGATTTTATCTCCCCACTGGGCAGAACCCACTCTCGCACGGAGAGGCGCCCCCCGGGACGGGGAGGGCTGATGCACGAACACAAGTGAACCCGCCGGGCCGGGCCACCCCCTCCCAACCCCGGCGCACCCACGCAGCGCGTTTCCCCGCGCTCCGCTCCCGCCGCTCCTGCCCGGGACGCTCCGCCCGCCGCCGGGGCACCCGCGGGGCCGCGGCCGAGGGGGCAGCGGGGCCCAGAACACCCGCACAGCGGCCCGGCACGGCGGCAGCGCCTGCGCGGGGCCGCCCCCGCCGGCCGGCGCCTGCGCCTCTCCCGCTTCCTGCCGCGGGGCCGGGGGTGCTCCGGGGGTGCGCCGGGGCCGGGTGTGGGACGCCGCCGCTCCGGTCTCCCCTTTCCCTGCCCTGCCCCGCTCGCCGGACCCGGGCTCGGCAGGGACCGAAGCGGCCGAGCTCGCCGGGGATGGTCCCGCGGCCGGGGGCGCGGGTGGCGCATCGCGCCCACGCGTGTCCGTGACCGTGTCCGTGTCCGTGAGCGGCCCCCGCGGCCGCGGTGTCGCGCCCGGCACAGCCCGGCCGCCGCACGGTGGGAGCGTAAGTGACCGTGAGCGGAGCCGGGGGGCTCGGCCCGGCCCGGGGGCTGCGGGGAGCGGGCCGGAGGGTGGTCCGCGCTTCGCTCCGCGGCGTTGGCGGCGTGTGGGGGGTGGGTGAGCGTGTGCGGGGGGTTGTGTGTGTGGAGGGCAGCGCGCATCGCTGCCTTAGCATTCTCACAGCATCGTTCTCGTAGCATCATTGCCTCTAGCATCGCTGCCTTGAGCATCATTCCCTTGCAGCCAGCGCTGTACCGCGGCGTTACCTCCTGTGGGGTTTTTAGAACCGGGCAAGGTGCCCTGGGAGAGGTGCTACAGCTTATTAAAGTAGCCGATACAGGTTAGGAGGACCCAGGCGCAAAAGCCTTTTCAACTGATACTGACCTTTGGGAAGGTGTCACTTCACCTAAACTTGCGTGGTTTTTAGCTTTCTCAGTCCACTGAAATGCTTGTGTGATGAAGATATGAATAGTTGGTTTAGGCTACAGAAAACCAGCTCTGGAATAGAAAGGAATTTTAGTGGATCTGAATGTTTTCTAACCTCTGTAATGCTTCAGCATACCTTACTGGGCGCTGGTTGACTTTGATCGGCTTTCACTCTGCATCCTGTGGGAGAGCACAGTGTATTTATATCTTGTAACAGGCACAGCAAGACCCAACCCTCACCAGAATCGGTAGGACTTGGTAGGCATTTTTCACTTCATTTTGTTTTACAGTAAGTGAGGTTTGGATTCCTTACGTGTGTAGCTGAATCTTCAGCTGAATGTTTGTGTAATTTTTCTTGTGCCCAATCCCTTGTGCTTCAGCGGCGCAACTGAATGTATGTGCAGGTTTGGTTGCTTGGAGCTTGTGTTTCCTAAATTTAGATGAAGAGGTACGGGAGTGTGTGGAAGGCTGTGGCCAGGAGTAAATGAAACCTTTTATGTGGGGAGAAAAAGGAGTAATGAGCTGTGCTATCATGCAGCACTCCTGTTGCTGTGCGGGTGTGACAAGCAGGGTAGATCTCGGGGATGGTATCCAAACAATCATAGTGCTGTCATTCATTGCGTTTCTCTCCGTTATCATGAAAAGGTGTTGTGAGGTGATGTGTCTGCGTATTATTGACAGGCAATACCTCCTCAATTCTTTATAAATGACAAAAAAAATAAAATCCAGAAGGTGTCTTTGGAGGTGTCAGGATAGGCTTCCATATGTGGCTCTTCCACACTTGCTGAGCTGTTGCTGGAGATGAATGTAGTGAAAAATATTATGCAAAGTACTGAAGTGCAGAGAACAACCTTAGTATTACAGACATTGTGATGGTTTAGTTTTATCAGCACCAAATCGAGGTGAATTCAGACCCATAATACAGTTGTACAGTTGTAGGATTAACATGTCACCCGTACCAATGTCTGTTTTAAAAAAAATTAATTTAAACCACCTCATTTGCTTTAAGATTTTTTTGGGTTTGACCAGGAATGAGGAAGCAGCTTTGAGCTCTTGAGAACACAAGTGGAACTGTGCAGCTGTCAAAAGATGATGTCTGTTGAAAGCTGATGTCTTACATAACACTCCTTAGTTGTTTTGCTTTCTCGGCTTTGCCTGAAATCCTTGTTTCAGCATCACTGCATTCAGATTTTGAGTCTGGGGTTTTTTTATTATTATTTTTATGTTTCTTTTTGCTGAAGATGGTTGACTTAATTTTGTGATTTTAGCTAAGTTTTGTTTGGTTGTTTGTTTGTTTTTTCCCTGTCAGCTCTTCATGAAACAGCTACAGTTTGTTTAAAGGTGGTTTGCTAAGGTGAAGTTGTCCACAGAGTGTTTGTTTACACTCTGATAGTGTGCTTTTGGTCGTGCTTTGGTGCTACCCACCATTCAGTGTTTGAGCAGGATCTCCAGTGTTTGATTTGCAGTATTTTGCCTGCTGGGGAGTCTTGCAGTCATTTAGCTGCTGCTTGTATTCCAGGCTGTCACACCTAAGGCTTGCTAGGTTTCAGGGGACTTATTTGTCCAGCACTTAAAGCAAGGCTAGTGGATCTTAGGTCAGCGATGCCAAATAATATCACTGTTCCTGCCTCTCTCAAATTTGTGATAGGTGGAAATTCCTACTTGTGGTAGGCTCATCTTCACACCTTGTCTGTTGAAGGGTGTTGAGGAGGTGGCCAAGTTCATACTCAAACTTCAGAAGTGTGCTCAAGGGTCTTGATTTGAGACAATCCTTGTTCTCTTTTATGTGAGAGGAGACAGTGAGATGACTCCTTTACCTCTTTTGTACTTTTTTTTTTCTTTAAACAGGGATTTCAGTATATTTTTCTTGGCTAAGAGTTTGGACCCTGAAATTGCCTGTAGGTGCTTTTTTTAAAACTAGCAACTCTTGTTCCCTGAAATACTAATGGATGCACTGTGTAAATATGTGTGTAGTTTTTAGGTGGGACTGCTTAGCTAAGACAAGTCTAAGCAAGCTGGAAATTTTAATTTGATTTTCAAAGGTTTGTACTGATGTACTATATACTAATATTTTCATTTTTGTTTTAGAGTTTCTACACAAATTTACATAAAACTGGAATTTAACCTGTCATGGAGCTGGCTCACAGTTTGTTACTGAACGAGGAAGCATTAGCTCAAATCACAGAAGCAAAGAGACCAGTCTTTATCTTTGAGTGGTTAAGATTTTTGGATAAAGTGCTAGTAGCTGCCAACAAGGTAATTTTATGGGTTTTCCCCCTTCTTTGTAAAGCATTTGTATTAATTTCATGCCAGAGACAGTTGACAGGTGATGGCCAGATGACAACTGTATTGTTTCAGATTAAGCCTGAAGAGCTTTTGTATTAGTTTGTAGCTCTTAAGTGTTTAATTGTAGGCAGTCAGTAGGCTGCTAGTAAGTGTTTTTAAAAAGTAAAAAAATTTAAATAGGATAACAGCTAATTCTGAGCATTTAGCATCTGTCTCTGCTATTACTGAATGTGTCTCGAATCTCTGTGAAACAAGCAATTTGCTGAATTACATGCAATTGGAAGTGGTGTAGGGTTTACTTCAATCTCTTGTAGGTTTTTTTGGGGTGTTGGTGGCAAGACACAGGATTAAATGACTTTTTTATTCATTTTTGGTCTTTTTAACAGACAGATGTCAAGGAAAAACAGAAAAAACTTGTAGAACAGCTAACAGGACTCATCAGCAGTTCCCCTGGGCCACCTACGCGAAAGCTACTTGCAAAAAATCTCGCTGCTCTCTACAGCATCGGAGACACATTTACTGTTTTTCAGACGCTTGACAAGTGTAATGACATCATCAAGAGCAAAGATGATACTGCAGCCTACCTACCCACAAAACTGTATGTTTAATATTACTAGGGAAAGGGGAATGATTTTTAAGCCAAGTGGTCCAGGATATTACAGAATATTCTGCCTATACATGTACATGCTATGTTTATTTATATTTTGCATGCTTATTGGGAGTTCAGATATGCTTGATATAGCAAAGAAAAGCACTAGATTGAGATTGTGCAGGGCAGGACTCAAAGGTGACACATACATGGCTGTCTGAAAGTGAAATGTCTTTCTTTAGGCAAGGTGCTGCCTTATGTTTCTTCACATGCTTGTGGCATGGAGAGGATAACAGTTAACGCAGTAATGCAATGAAGTCTTTCCATCAGTGGAATTATTGCTGATTGCACTCAGGTACCCCATTTAAGGTAGAACCTGCAGATTGTCAAACCGAAGCATTATCTATGCCCATAGACTTGTAATCGCATGTTCAAGCTTTTTTCTCTATCAAATCTTGCCTTTTATATTCCTCCACTGTGATGTGCCACACAGGTCTCTCAAGTAGAGTCTCTGAGCTTGGATATGTGAGTGATGCAGTTTGTCTTTATTCATAGGAGCAGTCTCAATGGTAGGAATTTAGTTAATGACACAGAAAACTTCCACTGAAACTGTTTTTGGGGCTTTTCTGCATGTACTGCTTCATATGTTCTCAGTGTCTAGTGAACCCTAATTTGGTCTTGCCTTCAGACATTATCACAACAAAAAAGGATTTAACAATGAAGTCTGAAATAGTCACTGTTTGGGCAGATACTCTCCTCTTTTTTATAGCTCTTGCAGGAACTTGTATAAGTGGGAAGGGTTTTGTACTATAATATGCTCTGAAATTTAAGCTATCCAAGTGATAGTCCAGAAGTTTTTTAATGGAGATGTGCCCCTTAAGGAGGAGTCTGTAATGAGTTTGTAACATAGCTTTGCTGAAAAAATCATTAAGCCAAGAGTTACAGATTTAAAGAAAGCCTCGTTTGTGATAAAGAAGTGCATGTTTTCAGGAGCTGCTTCTGGAACAATTTGTGTATATAATTGCAATATGGTGTTAATTAAATATCCCTAATCTTAAATGGCAGGGCAAGAAAAACATGTAAAAACTGTTTATGGATCGAGTGATTTTACAGTGCCTATAATTTTTTTTTTGTCTTATGCAATAATATATGCATTTTAAGTTCTTAGTCTTGAAAAAACCCTATAATTCAGTTTCTACAGAAATGTGTCAGGATATATTATGGGGTAAGGGTTATCTTGCAGGTGCTTGGAAAAAGAGACAGTGTATTGAAACATTAAACCCGAATACTGCTGAGATTTCAGCATATCTTGTTTTCTCCAGGACTTTT